GGACGTGGTATCGGTGAACCTCAACATCCGACTTTCCATCCATAGCCCGACTATGGATGAATACGTCATCCAAATAACCCGGTGCGAATTCTCGTGCTGGTCTCAACAGGTGTGATACACATCTGTTGAACGTGGCAGGGGCATTACTAAGCCCTTGTGGCATTACTAGCCATTCCCAGAGCATGCCGCTAGGCGTGCTCACTACGGTATAGGGTATGTCCGTTCTCACATAAGGATTTGATAGAAGCCATCTATCAAATCCATGGACGAAAAGATGGTACTCTTTGACATACCATCAATGATTACGTCTTTCCTTGGTATCGGCGTCCGAGCCGGTAACGTTGCAGCATTCAACTTGTTAAATGCATGCAGAATCCGCCACCCTCCTGTTGCTTTTCGCACACAGAAGGTCGGAGAGCTATGTGGAGAAGTTGATTCCCTCACATGGTCCGCAGCTAAGCGATCGGCAAAGAACTTGTCGATCGCAAGTACTTGTTCACGAGGCAGTGGCCACTGCTTCATGACACAGTACTTCGAGCCTGGTTTAATCTCGACCTCGTGTCGAATACCTTTATCCTTCGGTAACTCGCACGGAACAGTTTCAGGGAATACATCCTTGAATTTAACCAAATCCTTATAGAGAGGATTTGTCTTGAGTGATTCCCACGATTGGGAGTCATATCGCTCAACTCGTGTCTTTTCATCGAGGACACTCTCGTCCATAGATGAACTACTGAAAACTCTCTCGTTCTCAGTGAACACTGTTGCTGACCTTATGTCGGCTACACACTCGTCGTCAGCGACGAGTACGCAGATCTGCTTGACTTTTCCACTACGCAGATCACGCAAGAACCTTTTATGTTCGAGCATTGGCAACTGGGTGATCTCCGAAGTCAACTTCGGAGGCGCAATCAGATCAAGTGTATAAGCGCCTACGCGTGATCCATCATTGACTATGACATTCATTGTCTCTGTCATTTCCTGGGGACTTATTCCCTCAGGCCTCGAAGGACTTATTCCTTCGAGTTTCGGGGAACCTATTTCCACCGTATTTGTAATATCGGGACTTATTCCCTTAACTTCCTCTAGCTGGGGTTGCGCAACCACAGCGAGGTCCTCTACGAAAGACTCTCCAGTCGATTTAGGGTTATCTTAACCTGGGCGATCGATTGTTTCTCTTCTAGATGTCCCCCGCTAGGGATACATCTTTGTCCCGGTCCACTCGACTTATTCGAGTGGTGGACCTTCGGCGCAGCCTGTGTTTCTCTACAGCCGCCGGAATCTTGCTCCGAAGTGTAACTGTTTGTTACACTAAGGTTTTGTGCAGTCGTACTAACGACCGTACCACAAGTGAGGCCATCGCACTCACTCGTAGTACATCCACACGCTTGTGGACGCTCCAAAACGTTCATCAGATGGCCATCTGATGAACAAGCGGCAGGCATCGTTACTGTTCGATGTTGCCAGTTTACCCGTGGTTCGTACCTTCTGAGCCACGGTATTCCAAGGATGACATCAAACTTGTCATCCAAATCCAATACGATAAAGTCATCATCATATTGGGTGTCTTCTAGCGTATAGTGGATCTAAACTATACGCTTCATGACTGTTACGGATGCCCCTGTTGCAAGACGTACCGTCATTCTCGTAGGAGGTGTGTCACATTCACTGAACTTGAAGTGGCCATCTTCTAGCGATTGGCGTCGCACAAAATTGTTGGACGCCCCACACTCGACTAGAGCTCGAAGGGACAACTTATTCGTCACTTCGAGTTTCAAGGTAATGAGTGAGATCTCATTACCTAGAGCAGCAACGCACAATGTTTGTGTGTTGGGAGCAACCTTCATCAAGAGGCCTACAAATTCTCTTGACGTTGCTGGATCAGTAGGGTGCTCCGCAACTACTAAACCTGTCCGTTTTTTGACGGTCCATCCCGTTGTTGAGTCTTCGCACCAACAGCGGACCCTCGTCCCTGCCCCTTTCTCATGGGTGGACGGTCACTACGCTCAGTGTTGCGAGACACTGGACGAGGGGCACTACACTCGTAAGCGTAGTGTCCTGTCTTCTGACATCTGTTGCATTTCTGAAACTTCTTGTAGTCTGTAGAGCGAGCCTTCTCGCTCTCTACATAACCGAGTTCCATCGGCTCTGGACTTCCGCTGTCATATCGTCTCGGTTGACGATACGATGTCGAGCTGGCGCAAGCCTGTCCCAGACTGAAGTCTTTCTGTTCCGCAATGGAAATGGCTTGTTCTAGTGAATCTAGTTCAAGTCGGAACAGGTGAGTCTTGAAGGGACCATCGCAAGACCCTGCATGAACACCGAAACCAACGTGTGTTCATCCACCGGGTTGGAACTTATATAACTCGTGAGATGTCGTATATGTTGCGCGTAAGCGTGCACATCACGCTTACCTTGCTTGAGCTTCAAGAGTTCAGTTCGAGCTCTGAACTCAGCTCTAGGCGGTTCAAACGTTTTTCTGAGCCGCGACTTGAAGACTCCTAACGCCCCAAACGCATATGGGTCGTGCAACTTGAGCCCCAGTGCCCAAGTCTTGGCACGTCCGGCCGGATTTGACTGGGCAAATGCAACTTGCATATCCCCGTCGTCGATGCGACGCGCCCTTATGGCATCATCCAATTCGACGAACCATCTCAAGAGGTTTCCCATTCGACCCCCTATACTTGGAGATGTCAATCTTCAAGGTCTCGGGTCGACGCGAGTGCATCGACCCACCAGCAGCAGCCTGCTGCTGTCTGAACAGCTCAAACTGCTGAGCATCCCATTCTCTCAACAACTCTGATTGTTAAGAACCTTGTTGGTGAAGCAAGGCTACTTTCTCGCGTTCTGTGTCAAGTTCATTTTGAATGAACTTGGCGATAGTAGCATGTTGGGCATCTCTATTGAGAGCCTCTAGCATGACGCTAACAGCATGGAATCCCATGGTTGTACCCATCCGTTCAACCGCATCCCATTCGACAACACTCAAATGGGAGTAGCCGTCACGCGTAGCGTGAAAGCTTTGGTCATCTTCATCATCCAACATATTCATGTTAGATGTGAACGTGGTCATTGGACGGACTACGAAGTGCTACCAGGTGTAACGGGGCACCCTGGAGCTTGTACTGATGACAGTACAAGCTACTTATTCTGACTACATGAATAAGGCGGTGCCTCGGAACTCCACGTACACTGGCACGTGCAGAGGAAGACGGTAAGGAGAAGCGAGTACTTGGTTAAAGTAAAAAGTAGAACTGTATTTGTCATAGTTAAAGTCTGTTAATAAACCACTGTTTATCTTCATCTAACTATGTCTGAATACAAATCTGCAAATCAACTATCTGCTCACCACTCATTGCGTGCGTCTGTCGTGGCGCGTCTTCGTTGGTTGATATAATGTCCTATATCAACCAATTAGGAACTACTCGTAAGTGCTGCAGAATATTTGTCCTTATGACAATATTCTGAGAATATAACTCTTATAGTTATATTCTATCAACAAATTCTTATAAATTGTTATGTAACGATTCACCCTGTTACTCATACTGTTTAGTAACGCCTTAGGTGTCGAGGCAACTGCCGCAAGTCACCACGCGGTCGTCCGCCAATCTCGTTGATTCCTCCTTTCAACAGCCTTGTCACATTCATCCAAAGCGCTGGCTCTGGGACACTTCGGGGTGAAGACCTTCCTGCAAAAAGTACTTCTCAACTGCATTCGCCACACCACGACCCTCGTTGATTGCCCACACAACTAGAGATTGGCCGCGCCGACAGTCGCCGGCTGCAAACACGCCCTCGACCGACGTCCGGTAGCCTCCATAAGCAGCTCAAATGTTGCGGCGCTGATCCACCTCCAGCCCAAGAGCCTCTGCGATCTTCTGCTCCGGATGGACGAACCCCATGGCAAACAGCACAAGGTCGCACGAAATCTCCTCTTCTGTATCGTCCATTGCTTGCTGAAAGCGTTGTTGACGCTCTTCGTCCATCTCCTCGGCAGTTTTTCCCTTAAATAGCCGCAGTGCCGTATTTTCGGAGACTGTTGGCGTCGAATGGTTCTCGATCACAATGTCGTCTTCGGTCAGAGCAGTCATAGACCAAGTCCATCTCATCGCCAACAAGCTTCGGCGTCCGAATAGGCGACGGAGGATTCAATTTCATCCACCTGTGCGTCTCTTCTTGAGTCTCCATCTGCATAGAATCCCTCGCTCGCTCGCTTGGTCATCATCGAAGCGCTACATTCTGACGTGTCCCTGAAGATAGCGAGGGAGTTGAGAGGCACTTGATCAAGTAAACCGTCGGGCCGACCAGGAGAACAGCGTGTACACGTAAGCGAGCCAGACGTTGTGCGTCGTGCTTCGAGGCGACGACCGAGTCGTTGCGTCGAAGGACGGACGTCGCTTTGTCTGTCCACTGCGATCACGAGAGGCGCCACGTGGAGAGCACTGACGGAAGGATGTGCTGGCTTGTGATACGATGCGACATGTGCCATGAGCCCGAGGTTCTTGCCAGCCACTAAGCGATTTACACGGAATTTGACGTGGCGGACACCGTCTCGCGACCACCGGAGCATGGGGACGGGCAACTCGCTGGCGACGAGCCGCGCAAACCTCGTGAGCAGCCGCTTGTCCGTTCGATTCGTTTGTTTGCTTGCTGCCGCGTGTTTCTCCACGGGGCTCGCGCAGTCCTCGTCCGAGCGTCGTCCGGTGTTCTACTTCATCGGCGACTCCCTCACCGAGTACGGCAGTGACCCGGCCAAGCGCGGCTTCGTCACGACCGTGCAGCACCATCACGTGCGAGCTGTCGACTGCGTCAACCGCGGCCTCTCGGGCTACAACTCCAAGTCCGTTGACCTGCGCTCGGGTTTGTGTGACGGCGTGACTGAGCTGCCTGTGGATGTCGTACTGACTTTGGTTATCTGATGTGTCCCTGACCCAGATGGGTGCTGGAGCACGCCATGCCCGTCTATGTCGACGAGCTGCAGGGCCAGTACTCGGCGTCCCTTGTGACGGTCTTCCTTGGGGCCAACGACGCCGCGCTCGAGCACGGACCCGACGCTGCGCAGTTCGTGCCCCTGGAGGACTATCGAGCCAATCTGCACGAGATCGTGCACCGCGTGCGCCCCCTTTTGGCTCCTCACGGCCAAGTGCTTCTGATCACGCCGCCCTGTGTCATTGACTCGATGCGTCAAGGGGACCGCAGCGACGCCTCAGCGGCCAAGTACGCGGAAGCGTGCGTCCAAGTGGCTGCGGCCAAGAATGTCCATGTGCTGGACCTGCACACGTACTTCAACTCGATGTACCCGGCGGAGAGTGCTCGCAAAGCGTTCTTTGTGGACGGACTGCACTTGTCGGCACAGGGCAATGAGGAAGTGGGCAAGTTGCTGGGAGTCGCGATCAACGGCATGTTTGGGAAAGACGAACTGGCGAGGTTTGCCAAGTGGCAGTTGCCGGACTGGAAGGATTTGGTTCCTCGCGTCCCCGGAGCGGAGTCGCAGTTACTGGGCGGGGATGCGACTGGAGTCGCTCGGGGGTGATGGAGCTTTTCGATTGCCATGAGGTTTCAAACAGCTCCTGGTACTCGTCGCCTGCATGTAAGTGATCAACTGAGCGCTTAACCTTTGTGAGTCCATCAACCGTTCTAGGTTCGTTGAACACGTTCATCCCAGCAAAGCCGTCAGTGTAATGAGCTCACCTGGCATCGCTTCTACCTACGATTCGTTTCATCCAGCGTCATTGCTCGTTCTCAATCTCACGTTCAGCCCCATGTACACTGACGGATTGCCGCCGACACACGTCTGTGCTACAAATTGGACGTCAGAATGTGTCGGCACAATCAATACCAATAGCTCTTGGAACGACCACGAGGATGCCACGTTTCCGCCTTCGTAGCAGGGTGTCGCCTCGACAATGAAGCGCTACCAAGTCGATTCTGATGCGCATACGATGCACTGCAAGTGGAGACTTACCTGCTGTTTGTCGTGGCTTGAATATGGTACGAAAGATGCACGCCGAGGCCTCGACTGAGCCTGAACCGTTTTGCAAAGACTGCCATTCTATCACAGCACACAACACGTTGAGCTGTCGCACTCCCGCGCTCTCACAACCGCCAAACCACTGCCGAAAGGCGGCAATAAGCAGCTTCATGTGCGGCGTATCGATAACGCCATCTTCCCTAGCAAGGGTGTCCTGTAACGGGGTGAATCGTAACATAACAATTTATAAGAAATTGTTGATAGAATGTAACTATAAAAGTTATATTCTCAGAATATTGTCATTCGGACAAATACTCTTTAGCACTTGCGAGTAGTTCCTAATTGGTTGATATAGGCCATTATGTCAACCAACGAAGACGCGCCACGACAGACGCACGCAATGAGTGGTGAGCAGGTAGTTGATTTATAAATTTGTATTCAGACATAGTTAGATGAGGATAAACAGTGGTTTATTAACAGACTTTAACTATGACAAATACAGTTCTACTTTTACTTTAACCAAGTACTCGCTTCTCCTTACCGTCTTCCTCTGCACGTACCAGTGTACGTGGAGTTCCGAGGCACCGCCTTATTCATGTAGTCAGAATAAGTAGCTTGTACTGTCATCAGTACAAGCTTCAGGGTGCCCCGTTACACCTGGTAGCACTTCGTAGTCCGTCCAATGACCACGTTCACATCTAACATGAATATGTTGGATGATGAAGATGACCAAAGCTTTCACGCTACGCGTGACGGCTACTCCCATTTGAGTGTTGTCGAATGGGATGCGGTTGAACGGATGGGTACAACCATGGGAATCCATGCTGTTAGCGTCATGCTAGAGGCTCTCAATAGAGATGCCCAACATGCTACTATCGCCAAGTTCATTCAAAATGAACTTGACACAGAACGCGAGAAAGTAGCCTTGCTTCACCAACAAGGTTCTTAACAATCAGAGTTGTTGAGAGAACAGGGTGCTCAGCAGTTTGAGCTGTTCAGACAGCAGCAGGCTGCTGCTGGTGGGTCGATGCACTCGCGTCGACCCGAGACCTTGAAGATTGACATCTCCAAGTATAGGGGAGTCGAAGGGGACTCCCTCTTGAGATGGTTCGTCGAATTGGATGACGCCATAAGGGCGCGTCGCATCGACGACGGGGATATGCAAGTTGCAGTTGCCCAGTCAAATCTGGCAGGACGTGCCAAGACTTGGGCACTGGGGCTCAAGTTGCACGACCCATATGCGTTTGGGTCGTTAGGAGTCTTCAAGTCGCGGCTCAGGCAAACGTTTGAACCGCCTAGAGCTGAGTTCAGAGCTCGAACTGAACTCTTGAAGCTCAAGCAAGGTAAGCGTGATGTTCACGCTTACGCGCAACATATACGACATCTCACGAGTTGTATAAGCTCCAACCCGGTGGATGAACACACGTTGGTTTCGGTGTTCATGCAGGGTCTTGCGATGGTCCCTTCAAGACTCACCTGTTCCGACTTGAACTGGATTCACTGGAACATGCCATTTCCATTGCGGAACACGAAAGACTTCAGTCTGGGACAGGCTCGCGCCAGCTCGACATCGTATCGTCCACCGAGACGATATGACAGCGGAAGTCCAGAGCCGATGGAACTCGGTTATGTAGAGAGCGAGAAGGCTCGCTCAACAGACTTCAAGAAGTTGCAGAAATGCAACAGATGTCAAAAGACAGGACACTACGCTTACGAGTGTAGTGCCCCTCGTCCAGTGTCTCGCAACACTGGGCGTAGTGACCGTCCACCCATGAGAAAGGGGCAGGGACGAGGGTCCGCTGTTGGTGCGAAGACTCAACAACGGGATGGACCGTCAAAAAACGGACAGGATTAGTAGTTGCGGAGCACCCTACTGATCCAGCAACGTCAAGAGAATTTGTAGGCCTCTTGATGAAGGTTGCTCCCAACACACAAACGTTGTGCGTTGCTGCTCTAGGTAATGAGATCTCACTCATTATCTTGAAACTCGAAGTGACGAATAAGTTGTCCCTTCGAGCTCTGGTCGATTGTGGGGCGTCCAACAATTTTGTGCGACGCCAATCGCTAGAAGATGGTCACTTCAAGTTCAGTGAATGTGACACACCTCCTACGAGGATGACGGTACGTCTTGCGACAGGGGCATCCGTAACCGTCATGAAGCGTATAGTTAAGATCCACTATACGCTAGAAGACACCCAATATGATGATGACTTTATCGTATTGGATTTGGATGACAAGTTTGATGTCATCCTTGGAATACCGTGGCTCAGAAGGTACGAACCACGGGTAAACTGGCAACATCGAACAGTAACGATGCCTGCCGCTTGTTCATCAGATGGCCATCTGATGAACGTTTTGGAGCGTCCACAAGCGTGTGGATGTACTACGAGTGAGTGCGATGGCCTCACTTGTGGTACGGTCGTTAGTACGACTGCACAAAACCTTAGTGTAACAAACAGTTACACTTCGGAGCAAGATTCCGGCGGCTGTGGAGAAACACAGGCTGCGCCGAAGGTCCACCACTCGAATAAGTCGAGTGGACCGGGACAAAGATGTATCCCTAGCGGGGAACATCTAGAAGAGAAACAATCGATCGCTCAGGTTACGATAATCCTAGATCGACTGGAGAGTCTTTCGTAGAGGACCTCGCTGTGGTTGCGCAACCCCAGCTAGAGGGAAGTTAAGGGAATAAGTCCCGATATTACAAATACGGCGGAAATAAGTTCCCCGAAACTCGAAGGAATAAGTCCCCGGGAATCCGAAGGAATACCTTCGAGGCCTGAGGGAATAAGTCCCCAGGAAATGACAGAGACAATGAATGTCATAGTCAATGATGGATCACGCGTAGGCGCTTATACACTTGATCTGATTGCGCCTCCGAAGTTGACTTCGGAGATCACTCAGTTGCCAACGCTCGAACATTAAAGGTGCTTGCGTGATCTGCGTAGTGGCAAAGTCAAGCAGATCTGCGTACTCGTCGCTGACGACGAGTGTGTAGCCGACATAAGGTCAGCAACAGTGTTCACTGAGAACGAGAGAGTTCTCAGTAGTTCATCTATGGACGAGAGTGTCCTCGATGAAAAGACACGAGTTGAGCGATATGACTCCCAATCGTGGGAATCACTCAAGACAAATCCTCTCTATAAGGATTTGGTTAAATTCAAGGATGTATTCCCTGAAACTGTTCCGTGCGAGTTACCGAAGGATAAAGGTACTCGACACGAGGTCGAGCTTAAACCAGGCTCGAAGTACTGTGTCATGAAGCAGTGGCCACTGCCTCGTGAACAAGTACTTGCGATCGACAAGTTCTTTGCCGATCGTTTAGCTGCGGGTCATGTGAGGGAATCAACTTCTCCACATAGCTCTCCGACCTTCTGTATGAGAAAAGCAACAGGAGGGTGGCGGATTGTGCATACATTTAACAAGTTGAATGCTGCAACGTTACCGGCTCAGACGCCGATACCAAGGAAGGACGTAATCATTGATGGTATGTCAAAGAGTACCATCTTTTCGTCCATGGATTTGATGGATGGCTTCTATCAAATCCTTATTTGAGAACAAGACATACCCTATACCGCAGTGAGCACGCCTAGCGGCATGCTCTGGGAATGGCTAGTAATGCCACAAGGGCTTAGTAATGCCCCTGCCACGTTCAACAGATGTGTATCACACCTGTTGAGACCAGTACGAGAATTCGCACCGAGTTATTTCGATGACGTATTCATCCATAGTCGGGCTATGGATGGAAAGTCGGATGTTGAGGTTCACCGATACCACGTCCGACAGGTTCTTACAATCATGCGAAAGCATCAATTGTGTGTCAATCTCATGAAGTGTAGATTTGCAGCAAGCGAAATGCTACTTCTTGGGTGCATCGTTGGTAAGAACGGAGTACGTCCTGATCCCGAAAAGATCAAGGTGATCACCGACTGGCCTGTGCCGGTTGATGTCAAAGGTCTTCGAAAACTCCTTGGGCTAGCGGCGTATTTGCACAAGTATTCACGCAATTACGCCGAGATGACTATACACCTCTCTCGTTTGTTGAAAAAGAACGAGAGGTGGTTATGGAACGCTGAATGTCAGCGCTCCTTTGATAAAATCAAGCAGAGCTTGATGCGATCCCCAGTCCTAGCAATTGCCGATCAGGACAGGCCATTTCATGTGGTCTGTGATGCCAGCGATTTCGCAATCGGGTGTGCATTAATGCAGTACGATCTTGAAGGCGTTGAACGCGTCGTCTGCTATCAGTCGCGTCAGCTGCAACCAGCTGAGCGGAACTATCCAGTGCACACCAAGGAACTCCTTGCCATGAAGTATGCACTCGCGAAGCTCAAAGTTTATCTATTAGGAGATAGACCCTTCATTGTTTATACAGACCATGCGTCGTTACGCACAGCATTAAACAGCCCGCACCTTTCACAACGAATGGCGCGGTGGTTGTCATTCTTTGCAGAATACTACTTTACGGTAGAGTACAAACCAGGACGGCTTAATGTCGTCGCTGATGCACTCTCACGTCGACCCGACTTTGAACCAGTCGTGAGACCCAACAGTGGGACAGCCACTGTTGCGGTTATGACGTCCACAATGCATCGCCGACGTTACATGATGATGTGAGGCGGGCATATGCCCAAGATGGAGAGATTGTGAAGCTGTTGACACATCTCTCACAACCATCTCGAGAATCGTTGAAACGATCGTCGTCTGCGTATCGATCTGCATCAGATCGATACACTACTCGCAACGGTTTCTGGATCATACAGCCGTTACTGGTGATACACCACGTGTTGTCATCCCAGATGATACTGATCTGCGTTTGCGGATCATGTTCGAGTATCAAGATGCTCCTACAGGAAGACATCGTGGCCGGAGAAAACATATTTCACGGTGAGTCGAGACTTTTACTGGCCCCGCCAGTATCAGTTTGTGCGAAAGTATGTTCGCGCATGCGAAGTCTGTCAACGAGTGAAGTCAAGTCCTTTGCTGCGTGCACCTTTACAGCCTCTACCGGTTCCGTCAGAGTGCTGAGAATCCATCTCAATGGATTTCGTCTTCGGGTTACCCAAAGACGCACGCGGGAATACGGGTATTCTCGTTTTTGTTGACAGATTCAGCAAAATGGTACACCTGGTGGCTGTACCAGAGTCAATCACAGCAAGTGTCTGAGCTTGTTTCATTATTAACAACATCTTCCGACTTCATGGGTTGCTCCGTGAACTCGTATCAGACAGAGATCCACGCTTCACTGCTGATTTCTGGCGCTCCGTGTTCAAATTACTCGGAACGCGCTTGAAGATGTCGACATCTGATCATCCAGAGTCAGACGGTCAGACGGAACGAGCCAATCGTGTCCTCGAAAAGATACTTCGAGGATACGTACACTCCTTTAATAGTTGGAGTGAGTTCTTGCCCATGGTAGAGTTTGCCATTAACAACTCGGTGCATGCGTCCACGACACATACACCGTTTTACGTGAATGGCTTGCGCCATCCGCGTGTACCCACCCTACTCGAATGTAACTCTGGTTTGAGGGGGGGGAGAGACTCGCGCGAGCAAAAACCAATTTGGTTCACGCTTATCACGCTCTGACGAAGAGGTCATTGCGTTTGATGCCGATATCGATAACATCGATATCGAAGAAGATGATGCCAGTGAGAGCGCGGAAGCCCTCACTGAAGATAAGATTGATGTTGCTGCAGTGCACTCACAGCGCACTGAATCTAACGAGTTATCAGATGAATTCATACTGGCTCGTGAAACGGTAGTCCGTTTTGTGCAAGACTCCATCGCCGAAGCGGTGGATAAGCAAAAGCAAAACGCAGACAAGAATGGAAGGGCAAACACTCTTTTATTTAATAAAAGTGACTTAGTCCTACTGTCTACGGTTAATCCACCAAAACATGTAGTGACTAACTTGGGTAGTAGTAAACTTCTACCCAAGTACATCAGTCCATTTCGTGAATTGCATCGCCTAGGCAACGCATACACGATCGAACTTCCACGTAAGATGCAAACGCATACCACGTTTTACGTTGGTCGGCTTAAGCCGTACCATCAGTACGCTGTATCTTCCGATGAAGAACGCATTTGCCTTCAAGCATCTCACAGAGGGCCTTGTGCTCCCGATGGTGGATATCGACAAGGGTCTGAGGAGCAGTTATCTCAGCCCGAGACCGATCAATATTCCCACGAGCTACCCTTAGCTCGTCACGCAGAGACGTCAGAGCTCTCTCGTTCTTAAGCTGAGCAAAGGCAAACTCAGCTCGATGCTCAAAGACAGTGTCCGCCAGTTGGAGACGCCTGTCCCGCTCATGTTCGAGATCGCCGCATTACGCAAGCGTTACGCGATCAAAGAGGCTCTCGGGGATACACGCTTCCCCGTGATAGTTCGGAGAGCGTTTTCCCTCCTCCTCCACCTCCATTAGAGGACTCTTGCGGTGGCCAGCGCTATCTGGTTGAGCATCTGTTGAACCACCGCGACGTGAACGGACGTCGGACGTGTTATCTCGTCCGGTGGCGCGGCTATCCTTCGTCCTGGGATACTTGGGAGCCCCGCTCCCAACTGATGATTGACATACTGGGTCTGGTCGAGCAGTACGATGCGGCACATCCTGTGCCGCAGAAGGACCGCCGGAGAAAGTCTTCCCGGCACGGTCGTAAAGAGATTTCAGGTTGTCAATCCCTTCGTACATCTCGCTAGAGATACGTACGCGCCACCACGGGCTAGTAAGGAGGTAAGCCTCCTTAGGTGATCGCGCAGAGTTGTTCACACAACAAGGGCACGGGTCTCCCCAGCAAAGACAGGGTAACCCACCCTCCTTAGACAGACGATGCAGCTTGTAGCGTGCACCTGTCGGGGTTCTTTTCCCAAACTCATCACGAGCTTTGATAAGTTTGTCGTTCCAAACGTCACGACCTACATCCTCAAGGTTATGGATGTAAGCGCTCCACGCTTGAAGCAGTGAGGGACCACACGTTTGTGATTCCCACCGTACCATTGATGACTAAAGAAAGCATCGATGAAGAACTCATGCTCAGTGTGATAATCTGTCGCACTGGGGTCAAGGTGATGGATCCTTGACGAATCGAACAATCGTGTTCGATAGCGATCACTTGTCGTCGCCTACAAGCGATACATGACTGACTTTGGAGGCAGCCATGTCTTCTTTTCAGGAGCGAGATGCAACACACTGCGGTCCCGCTCTTCGTGCGACGTGCCGACAGAAGTACTGGCACCTCGTTGCGAAGTGGTGTCAATATGAGAACCGACACCACTGTTCGCGCCCGAATCTTGCGACCTCGAGCGCCTTCGATTTGGCGATGGTTCATCTGATTCGTCAGACGAACCAAAGATGCTACGACGCATAGCATCACCCATTCCACGCTTGGCAGACGGCTTGGATTCTATCACCGTCGGTACGGATCCGTCTTCCGTATCAGGAGAGTATGAGACACCGAGCTCATACTCTGTGAAGACATGAGTGTCTTCATGACGAGCGCCTGCATCACCAGGTGATACAGGCTGAGTCGTTTCAGCAACGATGACACATCAGTTGCTGTGGTTTCTGCTTCGGCGTCCGCACAGAGACGTGCAGACGTGCTCTCGGCGGCCTTGCTCGCGCACCGCATGGACTTGTAAACCATGAGATAAATTGTTGGAAAGTGGACTCGGACCAACAAGTGCAAACCCTGTCCCAAATGATTTGGGACGACAATTCATTTGTGCAATCAGTCACTAAAGTGACTGATGGTTTAGGGGGTGATGTAACGGGGTGAATCGTTACATAACAATTTATAAGAAATTGTTAATAGAATATAGCTGCAAGAGTTATATTCTCAGAATATTGTCATAAGGACAAATATTCTACAGCACTTACGAGTAGTTCCTAATTGGTTGATATAGGCCATTATATCAACCAACAAAGACGCGCCACGACAGATGCACGCAATGAGTGGTGAGCAGATAGTTGATTTGCAGATTTGTATTCAGACATAGTTAGATGAAGATAAATAGTGGTTTATTAACAGACTTTAACTATGACAAATACAGTTCTACTTTTTACTTCAAGCAAGTACTCGCTTCTCTTTACCGTCTTCCTCTGCACGTGCCAGTGTACGTGAAGTTCCGAGGCACCGCCTTATTCTGTCATCAGAATAAGTAGCTTGCACTGTCATCAGTACAAGCTTCAGGGTGCTCCGTTACAGCGTCGACGAATGAGTGGTGTTCGTGCTCTCGTCCTGTCAATGTTCGTCATCTTGCAGCAGCGCAATCTCTGTCAATATGGAGCAGCGGACAAGTCAAATGTACCCGTTTTGCAATGCCGATACGTCTTTGAGCTTTTTACAGCAGTAGAGGTCAAGCGAATGGTCTCCAGAAAACGCAGAGATGTGGAAAAAGTACGAGTGCGACGCAGTGATAGTGTGAACCGACTTTTGAGCTGCGACCTTGTATACTCAGGGACAAAAAAGCTCATGTCCATCTCGCAAGCGCGTGCAATGGAGAAACACCTACCAAGTTGCACCAAAAGGTCTACGAGCTTTATGGATCAAGCGAGTACTTGTCCTCGATCGTCTTAAAGACACACATACATAAAAGTCTGTTGAGCGCACAAGTCGGCCTAGTGACGGCAAGTTACGGATCCCAAAGGTTGCAGACCCCGCGTAACTCGACAGGATCAGCTCACGTCGCCTCGAGTTTGATCGGACGCCATCATCAGTCCATTATCAAGTGGCAACACCAAAGCGACTAGGCTGGATATGTAAAGGGGTACCCTGAAGCTTGTACTGATGACAGTACAAGCTACTTATTCTGACTACATGAATAAGGCGGTGCCTCGGAACTCCACGTACACTGGCACGTGCAGAGGAAGACGGTAAGGAGAAGCGAGTACTTGCTTGAAGTAAAAAGTAGAACTGTATTTGTCATAGTTAAAGTCTGTTAATAAACCACTATTTATCTTCATCTAACTATGTCTGAATACAAATGTGTATATCAACTATCTGCTCACCACTCATTGCGTGCATCTGTCGTGGCGCGTCTTTGTTGGTTGATATAATGGCCTATATCAACCAATTAGGAACTACTCGTAAGTGCTGTAGAATATTTGTCCTTATGACAATATTCTGAGAATATAACTCTTGCAGCTATATTCTATTAACAATTTCTTATAAATTGTTATGTAACGATTCACCCCGTTACATCACCCCCTAAACCATCAGTCACTTTAGTGACTGATTGACTAAATGAATACTCGTCCCAAATCATTTGGGACAGGGTTTGCACTTGTTGGTCCGAGTCCACTTTCCAACAATTTATCTCATGGTTTACTAGTCCATGCGGTGCGCGAGCAAGGCCTCCGAGAGCACGTCTGCACGTCTCTGTGCGGACGCCGAAGCAGAAACCACAGCAACTGATGTGTCATCGTTGCTGAAACGACTCAGCCTGTATCACCTGGTGATGCAGGCGCTCGTCATGAAGACACTCATGTCTTCACAGAGTATGAGCTCGGTGTCTCATACTCTCCTGATACGGAAGAGGAATCTTTATTGAAGGCGGTTGAAACCAAGCCGCCTGCCAAGCGTGGAATGGATGATGCTATGCGTCGTAGCATCTTTGGTTCGTCTGACGAATCCGATGAACCATCGCCAAATCGAAGGCGCTCGAGGTCGCAAGATTCGGGCGCGAACAGTGGTGTCGGTTCTCCTATTGACACCACTTCGCAACGAGGTGCCAGTACTTCTGTCGGCACGTCGCAAGAAGAGCGGGTCCGCAGTGTGTTGCATCTCGCTCCTGAGAAGAAGACATGGATGCCTCCAAAATCCGTCATGGATCGCTTGTCGGCGACGACAAGTGATCGTTATCGAACACGATTGTTCGATTGGTCAAGGATTCATCACTTTGACCCCAGTGCGACAGATTATCACACTGAGCATGAGTTCTTCATCGATGCTTTCTTTAGTCATCAATGGTACGGTGGGAATCACAAACGTGTGGTCCCTCACTGCTTCAAGCGTGGAGCGCTTACATCCATAACCTTGAGGATGTAGGTCGTGACGTTTGGAACGACAAACTTATCAAAGCTCGTGATGAGTTTGGGAAAAGAACCCCGACAGGTGCACGCTACAAGCTGCATCGTCTGTCTAAGGAGGGTGGGTTACCCTGTCTTTGCTGGGGAGACCCGTGCCCTTGTTGTGTGAACAACTCTGCGCGATCACCTAAGGAGGCTTACCTCCTTACTAGCCCGTGGTGGCGCGTACGTATCTCTAGTGAGATGTACGAAGGGATTGACAACCTGAAATCTCTTTACGACCGTGCTGGGAAGACTTTCTCCGGCGGTCCTTCTGCGGCACAGGATGTGCCGCATCGTACTGCTCGACCAGACCCAGTACGTCAACCGTCAGTTGGGAGCGGGGCTCCCAAGTATCCCAGGACGAAGGATAGCCGCGCCACCGGACGAGATAACTCGTCTGACGTCCGTTCACGTTGCGGTGGTTCAACAGCTGCTCAACCAGATAGCGCTGGCCACCACGAGAGTCCTCTAATGGAGGTGGAGGAGGAGGGAAAACGCTCTCCGAACTATCACGGGGAAGCGTGTATCCCCGAGAGCCTCTTTGATCGCGTAACGCTTGCGTAAAGCGGCGATCTCGAACATGAGCGGGACAGGCGTCTCCAACTGGCGGACACTGTCTTTGAGCATCGAGCTGAGTTTGCCTTTGCTCAGCTTAAGAACGAGAGAGCTCTGACGTCTCTGCGTGACGAGCTAAGGGTAGCTCGTGGGAATGTTGATCGGTCTCGGGCTGAGATAACTGCTCCTCAGACCCTTGTCGATATCCACCATCGGGAGCACAAGGCCCTCTGTGAGATGCTTGAAGGCAAATGCGTTCTTCATCGGAAGATACAGCGTACTGATGGTACGGCTTAAGCCGACCAACGTAAAACGTGGTATGCGTTTGCATCTTACGTGGAAGTTCGATCGTGTATGCGTTGCCTAGGCGATGCAATTCACGAAATGGACTGATGTACTTGGGTAGAAGTTTACTACTACCCAGGTTAGTCACTACATGTTTTGGTAGATTAACCGTAGACAGTAGGACTAAGTCACTTTTATTAAATAAAAGAGTGTTTGCCCTTCCATTCTTGTCTGCGTTTTGCTTTTTCTTATACACCGCTTCGGCGATGGAGTCTTGCACAAAACGGACTACCGTTTCACTAGCCAGTATGAATTCATCTGATAACTCGTTAGATTCAGTGCGCTGTGAGTGCACTGCAGCAACATCAATCTTATCTTCAGTGAGGGCCTCCGCGCTCTCACTGGCATCATCTTCTTCGATATCGATGTTATCGATATCGGCATCAAACGCAATGACCTCTTCGTCAGAGCGTGATAAGCGTGAACTAAATTGGTTTTTGCTCGCGCGAGTCTCTCCCCCCTCAAACCAAAGTTACATTCGATTAGGGTGGGTACACGCGGATGGCGCAAGCCATTCACGTAAAACGGTGTATGTGTCGTGGACGCATGCACCGAGTTGTTAATGGCAAACTCTACCATTGGCAAGAACTCACTCCAACTCTTAAAGGAGTGTACGTATCCTCGAAGTATCTTTTCGAGGACACGATTGGCTCGTTCCGTCTGACCGTCTGACTCTGGATGATCAGATGTCGACATCTTCAAGCGCGTTCCGAGTGATTTGAACACGGAGCGCCAGAAATCAGCAGTGAAGCGTGGATCTCTGTCTGATACGAGTTCACGGAGCAACCCATGAAGTCGGATAGATGGTGTCAATAAAGACACAAGCACGGCCACTTGCTGTGATTGACTCTGGTATAGCCACCAGGTGTACCATTTTGCTGAATCTGTCAACAAATTCGAGAATACCCGTATTCCCGCGTGCGTCTTTGGGTAACCCGAAGACGAAATCCATTGAGATGGATTCTCAGCACTCTGACGGAACCGGTAGAGGCTGTAAAGGTGCACGCAGTAAAGGACTTGACTTCACTCGTTGACAGACTTCGCATGCGCGAACATACTTTCGCACAAACTGATACTGGCGGGGCCAGTAAAAGTCTCGACTCACCGTGAAATATGTTTTCTCCCGTCCACGATGTCCTCCTGTAGGAGCATCGTGATACTCGAACATGATCCGCAAACGCAGATCAGTATCATCTGGGATGACAACACGTGGTGTATCACCAGTAACGGCTGTATGATCCAGTAAACCGTTGCGAGTAGTGTATCGATCTGATGCAGATCGATACGCAGACGACAATCGTTTCAACGATTCTCGAGATGGTTGTGAGAGATGTGTCAACAGCTTCACAATCTCTCCATCTTGGGCATATGCCCGCCTCACATCATCATGTAACGTCGGCGATGCATTGTGGACGTCATAACCGCAACAGTGGCTGTCCCACTGTTGGGTCTCACGACTGGTTCAAAGTCGGGTCGACGTGAGAGTGCATCAGCGACGACATTAAGCCGTCCTGGTTTGTACTCTACCGTAAAGTAGTATTCTGCAAAGAATGACAACCACCGCGCCATTCGTTGTGAAAGGTGCGGGCTGTTTACTGCTGTGCGTAACGACGCATGGTCTGTGTAAACAATGAAGGGCCTATCTCCTAATAGATAAACTTTGAACTTCGCGAGTGCATACTTCATGGCAAGGAGTTCCTTGGTGTGCACTGGATAGTTCCGCTCAGCTGGTTGCAGCTGACGCGACTGATAGCAGACGACGCGTTCAACGCCTTCAAGATCGTACTGCATTAATGCACAGCCGATTGCGAAATCGCTGGCATCACAGACCACATGAAATGGCCTTTCCTGATCGGCAATTGCTAGGACTGGGGATCGCATCAAGCTCTGCTTGATTTTATCAAAGGAGCGCTGACATTCAGCGTTCCATAACCACCTCTCGTTCTTTTTCAACAAACGAGAGAGGTGTATAGTCATCTCGGCGTAATTGCGTGAATACTTGTGCAAATACGCCGCTAGCCCAAGGAGTTTTCGAAGACCTTTGACATCAACCGGCACAGGCCAGTCGGTGATCGCCTTGATCTTTTCGGGATTAGGACTTGCTCCGTTCTTACCAACGATGCACCCAAGAAGTAGCATTTCGCTTGCTGCAAATCTACACTTCATGAGATTGGCATACAGTTGATGCTTTCGCATGATTGTAAGAACCTGTCGGACGTGGTATCGGTGAACCTCAACATCCGACTTTCCATCCATAGCCCGACTATGGATGAATACGTCATCGAAATAACCCGGTGCGAATTCTCGTGCTGGTCTCAACAGGTGTGATACACATCTGTTGAACGTGGCAGGGGCATTACTAAGCCCTTGTGGCATTACAAGCCATTCCCAGAGCATGCCGCTAGGCGTGCTCACTGCGGTATAGGGTATATCCCGTTCTCACATAAGGATTTGATAGAAGCCATCCATCAAATCCATGGACGAAGAGATGGTACTCTTTGACATACCATCAATGATTACGTCTTTCCTTGGTATCGGCGTCTGAGCCGGTAACGTTGCAGCATTCAACTTGTTAAATGCATGCACAATCCGCCACCCTCCTGTTGCTTTTCGCACACAGAAGATCGGAGAGCTATGTGGAGAAGTTGATTCCCTCACATGGTCCGCAGCTAAGCGATCGGCAAAGAACTTGTCGATCGCAAGTACTTGTTCACGAGGCAGTGGCCACTGCTTCATGACACAGTACTTCGAGCCTAGTTTAATCTCGACCTCGTGTCGAGTACCTTTATCCTTCGGTAACTCGCACGGAACAGTTTCAGGGAATACATCCTTGAATTTAACCAAATCCTTATAGAGAGGATTTGTCTTGAGTGATTCCCACGATTGGGAGTCATATCGCTCAACTCGTGTCTTTTCATCGAGGACACTCTCGTCCATAGATGAACTACTGAGAACTCTCTCGTTCTTAGTGAACACTGTTGCTGACCTTATGTCGGCTACACACTCGTCGTCAGCGACGAGTACGCAGATCTGCTTGACTTTGCCACTACGCAGATCACGCAAGCACCTTTAATGCTCGAGCGTTGGCAACTGAGTGATCTCCGAAGTCAACTTCGGAGGCGCAATCAGATCAAGTGTATAAGCGCCTACGCGTGATCCATCATTGACTATGACATTCATTGTCTCTGTCATTTCCTGGGGACTTATTCCCTCAGGCCTCGAAGGACTTATTCCTTCGGCTTCCCGGGGACTTATTCCTTCGAGTTTCGGGGAACTTATTTCCACCGTATTTGTAATATCGGGACTTATTCCCTTAACTTCCTCTAGCTGGGGTTGCGCAACCACAGCGAGGTCCTCTACGAAAGACTCTCCAGTCGATCTAGGATTATCGTAACCTGAGCGATCGATTGTTTCTCTTCTAGATGTTCCCCGCTAGGGATACATCTTTGTCCCGGTCAACTCGACTTATTCGAGTGGTGGACCTTCGGCGCAGCCTGTGTTTCTCCACAGCCGCCGGAATCTTGCTCCGAAGTGTAACTGTTTGTTACACTAAGGTTTTGTGCAGTCGTACTAACGACCGTACCACAAGTGAGGCCATCGCACTCACTCGTAGTACATCCACACGCTTGTGGACGCTCCAAAACGTTCATCAGATGGCCATCTGATGAACAAGCGGCAGGCATCGTTACTGTTCGATGTTGCCAGTTTACCCGTGGTTCGTACCTTCTGAGCCACGGTATTCCAAGGATGACATCAAACTTGTCATCCAAATCCAATACGATAAAGTCATCGTCATATTGGGTGTCTTCTAGCGTATAGTGGATCTTCACTATACGCTTCATGACGGTTACGGATGCCCCTGTTGCAAGACGTACCGTCATCCTCGTAGGAGGTGTGTCACATTCACTGAACTTGAAGTGGCCATCTTCTAGCGATTGGCGTTGCACAAAATTGTTGGACGCCCCACACTCGACCAGAGCTCGAAGGGACAACTTATTCGTCACTTCGAGTTTCAAAGTGATGAGTGAGACCTCATTACCTAGAGCAGCAACGCACAACGTTTGTGTGTTGGGAGCAACCTTCATCAAGAGGCCTACAAATTCTCTTGACGTTGCTGGACCAGTAGGGTGCTCCGCAACTACTAAACCTGTCCGTTTTTTGACGGTCCATCCCGTTGTTGCGTCTTTGCACCAACTGCGGACCCTCGTCCCTGCCCCTTTCTCATGGGTGGACGGTCACTACGCCCAGTGTTGCGAGACACTGGACGAGGGGCACTACACTCGTAAGCGTAGTGTCCTGTCTTTTGACATCTGTTGCATTTCTGCAACTTCTTGAAGTCTGTTGAGCGAGCCTTCTCGCTCTCTACATAACCGAGTTCCATCGGCTCTGGACTTCCGCTGTCATATCGTCTCGGTGGACGATACGATGTCGAGCTGGCGCGAGCCTGTCCCAGACTGAAGTCTTCGTGTTCCGCAATGGAGCATGTTCCAGTGAATCCAGTTCAAGTCGGAACAGGTGAGTCTTGAAGGGACCATCGCAAGACCCTGCATGAACACCGAAACCAACGTGTGTTCATCCACCGGGTTGGAACTTATACAACTCGTGAGATGTCGTATATGTTGCGCGTAAGCGTGAACATCACGCTTACCTTGCTTGAGCTTCAA